AAATTTTACTTGTAATGGAGTAATATTTGACCAGCAGTATCTGTACTTTCACTCAACTAATAGATTTTAGTACTTTGTCCGCCTCTGCACCAGAATAACACTTTAATAACACCGATATAACAAAGGAATAACACAGAAATAATTCAGTAATAACACAGGAATAACACAGTAATAACACAGAAATAACGCAGGAATAAATCAGTAATAACAGAAATAACACAGGAATAACACATTAATAACACAGGAAAAACACAGTAATACCACAGTAATAATTCAGTAATAACGCATTATTGACACAGGAATAATACAGGATTAACACAGTAATAACTCAGGAATAACTCAGTAATAACAGGAATAACACAGAAATAACACAGTAATAACACAGTAATAAAACAGGAATAACAAAGTAATAACACAGGAATAACGCAATAATAACACAGTATTAACACAGTAATATCGCAGTAATATCGCAGTAATAACTCAGAAATAACTCAATAATAACACAGGAATAACACATTAATAACACAGTAATAACACAGAAATAACTTAGAAATAAATCATTAATAACAGAAATAACAGTATTAGGGCCTTTCGCACCGCAGGAACCTTTTCATAGTACCAGAACTAATTGTGGAACTACCACTTTTTGGCGTTTTCGCACCGCCGGAACTGGGAGTGGTTTTAGTACTGGACTGCCTTTTTCGAGAATAATAACAGAAATAAAATAGGAATAACAAAGTAATAAGAACGGAACAATTCAGTAATAACACAGAAATAACACAGTAATAGCGCAGTAATAACACATTAATAATGCAGTAATACCGCAGTAATAACACAGTAATAACACAGAAATAAATCAGTAATAACAGAAATAACACATTAAAACGCAGTAATAAGACGAACAATTCAGTAATAACACATAAATAACACAGTATTAACATAGTAATAACTCAGAAAAAACCCAGGAACAACACAATGACACAGTAATAACACGGTAATAACAAAGTAATAACACAGGAATAACTCAATAATAACACAGAAATCACACAGTAATAACAGAAATAACTCAGGAATAACACATTAACAACACAGGGTTAACACAGAAATGACAGGAATAACACAGTAATAACAGAAATAACACAGCAATAACACAGTAATAAACACAGGAATAACATAGGCCTAACACAGGATTAACACAGGAACAACACAGTAATAACACAGGAATAAATCAGTAATAACACAGGAATAAATCAGTAATAACACAGGAACAGAGGCGGACAGTAACTAAGTACATTTACTTGAGTATTGTACTTAAGTACACTTTTTGAGTATCTGTACTTTACTTGAGTATTATTTTTTTCTGGGAACTTATGACTTTAACTTCACTACATTTGAAAGACAAATATTGTACTTTTCACTCCACTACATTTCTATCAAGGTCCTCGAAGTAGAAAGTCGTTACTATGTAGGAGCTTTGAAAGTCAGTAGGTGATTTTTTTTCTACTTCTCTAAAACGTGACACTTTTTTTTCAGACAGTTTATCAGTAATCACTCTTGTAGGGCTACATGAAGTGATTTCCCAGCATTTTTGAACACTGCCCAGTTGCATACGTGATTTTTATTTACAACAATTCAATAATAAAAAGTTAATATTGTGGTATATATTAGACACAATATTGTCTGATTTTGCTAAATTGTGTAAGTGAAAATATTACCTATAAAGCCACATAAGAACTGTTGTGCATCTCCTAATAAAACACAAAGAAGTTATTGCAAGTATTACGTACAATAAAACAGTGCATTGACATAAAAAAGGAAATTAACTTTTGGTACTTAAGTACTTTTAAAAGCAAGTACTCCTGTACTTTTACGTAAGTAAAAATCTGTCTTTACAACTTTTACTTGTAATGGAGTAATATTTGACCAGCAGTATCTGTACTTTCACTCAAGTAATAGATTTTAGTACTTTGTCCGCCTCTGTATATATATATATATATATATAATTTGGATTAAATTCATTTAGACATCATCTTGTTCTAGCAATTCCACAAGTGATTGTCACAAAACATTAAGCCAACATCATTAAAAGATTAACTCAATTGTCTTTTTGTGGGGTGCATGAGTTTCAGCAAATGTTGACTGAGTGACCAGTAAAATGAATACTAGAACAAATTTAGGCCATGTTATTTGGGTTACTAACAATAGAAATTAGGACAGATGTGTGTGTTATGTGTTGAACTAGATGTGGTCATTAAGAGAAACGACCATACTAAAAGTCATTGCAGATTCAGTCTATATTGTTTAACATCATCATGCTGCTATATGCTCACAACTACTGTTATTCTTTTTTTTTGGCAAATAGCTACTCCAATCTCTTTTTAGTATTCAACCCTTCTAAACATGAACATGTGAGACTGACATTTAGGAACATTATGTTCTAATCATTCTACTAATTAAAGTGAAGTTATTTGTAATACATTGCTACAACTGAATTGTCCATAATTGCATCACATCTCTAGGAATGTCTAGGTTTATTATACTGGAGTTTCTCTATTTGGCATAAAAACTGTAATGTAAAATAGTGGTCCTGAATTCAAAGTGTCACTTTGTGGTACAAAAGAAGAAGAAAGAGAAACCACACACAGCCTCATTCCCTTTTCATCACAGTCTAGTATGTTTCCATGACAACAGTGACATCAGCGCTGTGCAGAGATGTAAGGATGAAAGACTCCTCTGCTGTGGTTCTCTATGGTTATTAGTCTCTGCCAGCCAACAGCAAAAGTTATTGTCAGTCACATGATCATTTGACCTACATGGTGACTAACTCATTAGCAATTACAATAAAACAATACATACAATAATGCAATAATGCATACATTTAATTGAAAAAGGCAGGTTTTTTGTTTTCATACATCTGTTGAATTTGTACATCAAGCCCTTGGGAACTTTAGAATTTATTAGAAAGATTTTATTGAAATGACCAATTTAAAATAACTGATTTAGTTAAACAACATTCATTCATTTCAGGAGCAGTCCTTTTAAGTATGCTTTAGGTTGGTAATAGTAAGTTATGCATTACTTTTTTAGTTTGTAGTTAGCATTACTTCATCCTGTACTTTCTAGCTCTTTTTTTATTTTTTAGATTTATGAACAATCGTGCACCATCTAATAAGAGATATCAGCCAACAGAATATGAGCACGCTGCTAACTGTGCCACGCATGCGGTGAGTTGTGTGTTTACAGTCTTAAAGGAATCATTCACACAAAAATGAAAATTGACTCACCCTCAGGCCATCCAAAGTGAAGATGAGTTTGTTTCTTCAAATGAACAGATTTGGAAAAATGTAGCATTACACCACTTGCTCACCAACGGATCCTCTGCAGTGAATGGGTGCCATCAGAAGACAACATCACAATAAGTAATCCACACAAGTCCATCAATCAATGTCTCAATGTGAAATGAAAAGCTGTGTGTAAGAAACAAATCCAGCATCAAGACGTTTTTAACTTCAAACTGTTGCTTCTGGCCAAAATACAGGAGAGAAATATGCTCAGATCAAGCACTGTTTAATAGTGCAAACAGTCCAAAACAGTTCTATACAAATATGTTGGTGGATTATGATGTGAGAGGACAACAGGATTATGGACTCATATTTTGGACTGAAGCAAAGATTTAAAATTGAAATGTCTTGATGGATTTGTTTCTTACGAACACAGCTTTTCACTTAAAGGCATTATTAACTGGAGTGGTGTGGATTACTTGTGAATTATTGTGATGTTTCTATTAGCTGTTTGGACTCATTCTGACGGCACCCATTCACTGCAGAGTATCCATTGGTGAGCAAGTAATGGAATGCTACATTTTCTCCAAATCTGTTCCGATGAAGAAACAACTTACCTACATGGTTGCAAAGAAGCAGAAATCTTCTGGAAAATGTTGGTAAATTTCTGGAAACGTTCTAGAATTTTTGGAGTTTCCAGGATTTTGGGGGGAAATTTGGAACTTTCTTTTTTTTTTTTTTTACAGACATTTTCTGCCCCTTTTCAACCATACTCATCTACATTTTTGATGGCTTGAGGGTCAGTAAATTTTAAGCAAAGTTTCATTTTTAGGTGAGCTATTCCTTTAATCATAATTATGTATATATAATTATTTTGAAATTATTTCCTCTACAGTTCACACTGGTGATCATGATCTGTGACTGTAATTTATTCTCAGCTCTGGATCATTCCCAGCATTGTGGGTGGGATCTTGTTGTACCTCTTATCTGATGACCACTGGGAGGAGATTTCAGCATGGCTCTATGGGGCAGGCCTATCAAGCCTTTTCATCATATCCACAGTTTTCCATACTATCTCCTGGAAAAAGTCTCATCTCCGGTAAGAGTATGACGTAAAGCTTTCTGAGGTTTTTGAATAGTTCATTTTCAGTTTGTGTACTGTGAACCTGAACATGAATATCTGTCTAACGAGTTGCAAGTGAACTGTATGTTTTGTTTAATTTCTTGAAATTAAGCTTGTGTAGCTGTAAGTGTCTACATGTACTTGCAATCTCATCATCTTTCAGGCCTAAATGATAATCCAGCTTCGTATGTATTTACAGATGAACTGGAGGAGTGAAATTGAATATCTGTTACTTTACTTTTTAGATCGGTTGAGCACTGTTTCCACATGTGCGACAGGATGGTGATCTATTTCTTCATTGCAGCGTCCTACACACCTTGGTGAGCACAAGTCGAGAGTGAATTATGTTTTTGCAGCAATTTGAGAAATTGGTTTTTAGTCTGCATTGGGGATTAATGGATTTGTGTTTAGCTTTCATAAATTAACACTGAGTTCCGGGTGGGGAGATGGATAACAATGTAAAGACCAAGGGTTTATACGTGACCGAGGGTCCATGCCAATATTTTTCAGTTTGTTTCCACTAAGATGTGTGAATGGGGAGATTTTAGCTGAAATACTGATGGTGCCAAAAATTCTGATTCCACAGAAAAATGTTGGATCACCAATAATGTTGTAAAAAACTATTTGCTACTTAAACTTACAACAGTGTATTTAGATTTGATTTCAAATATGATGTCAAGCCAAACCAGTGTTTTCAGAAATTTTGATAATTTTCTGAACAATGTTAAACTGATACAGTTTAAAACAATTCCCACATATTTAGTTAAATAAACAGCATTTTCGTTGCTTTGGGTTTTAGTCATTTTAACTGGTCCTACTTGATACACAGTTGCATAGCTTTGAGTTATAAATGTCAATTATACTTTTATTTATTTGGCAAACTTCTTTATCCAACTTGACATACTGTACAGTGCATTTAAGGATTTATATTATGAGTATTTATATATCCTGAAAATTAAACGGTGAGACTTTCACAGATAGTTTGATGTTCAGAATACCTTTAATTAAGAATCAAATGTATTTATGGCAGGCTGACGCTGCGGGATCTTGGTCCATGGGCTGCCCACATGCGTTGGGTGGTCTGGGTGATGGCCTCTGGAGGAACTGCCTATGTGTTCTTCTTCCATGAAAGGTATGCATGTGTTAAGAGTATTAAGATAATCATTAATAATGATTAAGAGTGTTCATTTCTAAGTTCTAGATTTACAACATTAGATTTTTGTAAGAAATAGCATTGATTTTTTTTCTAATTTGTTGATTACAGTACCCTGCATCATATTTGTTGAATGAAATCAAATACGTTTCTTTATAATTTTGAGGTGCTGATTCTAAAACTAGTGTCTTTTTTTGCACTGTCACCTCACATTTTTCCACAAAATATGATATGTGCTTTTAATAGATTTTTTTTTCTTTCGACAACCATTTGCAAGGTGAAGGTCTTGTATTGTAAGCAGAAAAACTGCCATAAAGACTTGATTCCTGTCTTTCTCTGAGCCAGTTACAACTATTTGCTCAATTCACATGTACGATTGATTCTGAAGACATCATTTTATGCCTAAACCTGATTTCCACTTTTTCCACTGCTTTGCAGATTGTAAGTTAAATAGTATTTTCAATAAAAAATTTTTGTTATTATAATGACTTTTGATTGCTTTTGTTCTTTTGACAAGTGCATTAAAGGATTAGTTCATACAAAAATGAAAATTTGCTGAAAATGTACTCAATTTATCCAAGACGTAGATTGAAATTTAACATGACATCACTTTCTCACCGGTGGATCCGCTGTGGTGCTGGGGGAGTACATTTTCAGCAGTTTTCATTTTTGGGCGTAAGATTCCCTTAAACATGATACATATATATCTTGAAAAAATTCTAATACATATCATTTGAAATGCATGGCTGTGTTATCTTTTTTCTGTAATGATACAAAAACACCTGGAATATTTTCTGTGTTAAAGTTGAGCATGTTTCTTGCGTCCTTTGTGTTACAGGTTTAAAGTTGTAGAGCTGGTCTGTTACGTAGCAATGGGTGTTTTCCCCGCTCTTGTCATCCTCTCTATGGTAAGAAAATGAACGCTCCCTTAAGGATTTAGATGATAGTAAGGGCTGTTTGTGAAGGTTTCAGTTTGAACTTGAAATTACTTTTGATTTATTTTACTTGTGATTTTTTTCTATGAGTTGCATTAACAATATAATTTTCTGTAGATACATGAGACTGTAAAGATACTTTTATTAACTCAGCAAGTGATATATCTTTGGTGTTATGGAAGTGTTGCATATAATGTTCAGTTTTGCAAGTGTAATACATTTTTGTATGTTTATGTATGTTTCTAAATTATTTGATGGCTTTCCGTTATTCTGTTGCATTGTAAGTGTTCCATTTTTTGCCATGGTTGACTGTTTAAATATCTTTGTTTGGTGTTTTATGCTTTATTACAATGTGTTTACTTAGGTTTTGTTGATGCAATATGAAGTTTACATCCATTATACAGCTTTCACTGCCACTCAGCCTGAGACTGATGCATTTATTTTTCCATTGACCTCGAATTTAGCAAAATGACACAATTTATTAAAACTGATATGATGCTTGAGAAGTTGTGTCAGCTATAAGTAAGAGTGCATTCTGAATGTACAAAAATCCTTCCTCTTACTTTTGAGTCATTAGAAAATGCTAGATGGCTGGTGTTTGATTAATTGTGGATTTAACATGCATACAGTTTACCTCTGACTCAAAGCCAAAAGAAAATACACTGTAAAAAAGCCAAATTATAGTACAATTTAATGCTGTTTTGCCCTGACAAATCTTACATAATGTATAATGTAGAATTTGGCATAGTCTGTTCATGATACTTGACTCCAAACTTTCATACATCAGGCTGCCTACCTGTCCTTGAGTTATTAAAAATATGAATTCAGTAAAATTACTGAATCCTCTATTGAAACCGAATCCACATGAATCCTTACCCTGACCTCACTGTAAATGTAATTTGTGCCTTTTCTAGTTTGGGTGTGTTTCAGAACAGTTCGAGGCTTTGTGTTTTTAGCCATTCTGCTGATTTGCTCTGCATAAAAAAATGTGAACCTTTCACGTGAAGGTATTTGTGATTGTGATTTTGCTGCTATGTTTGTATTGCCCCAGTTTTTGTATTTGTATTAAGACCATGTTATTTCACACCAATGCTTTTTTTTATCAAGGAAACGTCCTCCGCTCTGAATCATTATTTGAGTCCTGCATTCAATGCATTTTCTATGTCTGTGGTTGATCAATAAATGCGAAGAAAAAACTTGCACGCTGTTGTAATGTTATACACGCATTTGAACTGATAATTCATTACATTATTTAAGTGTACTTATATAATGCTTTTTACTGTAAGTCACAGTTAGTGTTGAATACTGTCATGCTGCAGGACAATTTTCACATTATAACCAAATTATTCTCTATAAAATCCATGTTCTTTGCTGTCTACTGAAATAGACTGAACATTTATTGGGTAACATTTAATGTAAATGTCATTTCATCTGCCTTTACATAAATTATATGTTCTAATTGATCATGTCTAAATTCAGTAGAAATTAAATTTACAGCATCAACAAACATCTGTAGGCTATAGATAATTGTAATAGCTCATCCAGCAGCTCCGCCACCAGATGTCGCAGTTTTAGTTTGGTTTTACTTAGTTGTTGCAGCCTTGTGATCATTTTCTGTTTTTCAGTACAGGCTTTAAAAGAATGGCAACATTTTGAGAGAAAGAGGCATTTGCTTAAGGATTATTCATGTTGATATAAGGGATCAATCCATTCTACCTATACAGATCTAAACACTAACATTTCATTTCACAGTTGAGTGTGAGCCAAAATGTCCTGGGATTTAAATGAGTGTATGCTTCTTTCTGATCTGCCGAATGTCCCAGTAGAGGGCCAACTGTACACCCTCAGGAAACTACAAATCTATTAGTCATTCCACTCCACTTAATTATTCATAGAGATCTGCCATGTTCTTAAAAGATATTTTCAGTAAAGTGCCCAAATTACATTAAATGGCTATTCCCAATCTCCCTTATGAACATTTGCATAACATCCATTCTTTAACCGTTGAATTTGTCATTGTAAAACAGTTTTGACTTCTTTTTATACTGCTGTTTCTATTAAACAAACAAATAGTATAGCCAAAATAATTGTAATAAAAAATAAATAAATACATTAACTCACTCCACAGAAAGATGTGTGGATCTTGCATTTAACATTGAAGTGCATGCTAGCGAGCTAGTAGGCCTGCTGTTAAGATTAGTCAATTCATATGAATGTTCTGAATGTGAGTGTTCTCTTTCAGAGTATGGGTAGTCTCTCCTTATTTTTTCAGAAACAGCGAGTAGATAAATATGGATCATAGCCATCTGAATATAGCTCAGTAGAGCTGAACTAGGCTATGCATTTGCACACGTACAGTGACACCAACGAGTAGGCTATATTCAAATTTTGCAATTAGGCCTACTTTTCATCAACTGGTGTGGTCTTTTTAGTGGATGCATTAAGTCATCGTAAAAAGGAGAGCATATTTTCAAAGAGAGTAGAATCATACACATTTAAAGAATATAGTGTAAGTTTATTGCATGTTATTTGCAACTTCATGAAAATGTATTAGGCTATCCACCTTTTTCTTCAATGCGGAAGTAAGCCTATGGGTGAGACTTCCGGTTCATTAAGGAGAAGAAGAACAACGTGCAGTAAACGGTAAAACTGTTTGCACTACAAACCAGTGTGTTCATAATTAAGATAATACATTAAAATAATATGATAAGACACACCAACTTTTCAATATCAAGCAGCAAAACGAACTGTTTTGTTCAGCTAAATATAGCTGGACGGAGTGGACGCGTAGATGAGACCAGAAGCCAGACCCATAGAATTTACAAAAAATTTTACGACAAGAAAAAGGTGGATAGTTTACGATTTATGCAATTAGGTGAACTTAATAGTATTTTTTGACCCACTTACAGTACATCTTTACAGGTAATTTCATAATTCTATTGTCTCTGTTGTTTAAATACGGTTACTGCTGAATGTACTGGCAAGCATTTACGGTAAACTAAAATAGCCTATATTTTACTATCATTGCTTTCTAAACTTGTATGCCATGTGCTATTTAAATATATGCTATTTGTAATGACACATTTGCAAAGCTGAAGTTGCAGTTTAGGACATTTGAAATATAACCACTTTAAATTTAATATTAAATAAAACTAAATTATAATCACATACTTACATATGCTTCAGTATGTTAGTCAACCCATCAAAATAGGCTGTGTTTTTCTATAAAACCTGATAAAAGATTAATTAAACATGGGTTAAAGGTAAAACATTTAATGTACAACAAAGTGCACTTTTTAAAAGTGTTTTTAAGTGTGTAGGTCTATACTCTCTTTAAGTGCACTTATGTGGCCTTTATGTGGGCACTTATTTCAGTAACATTAGGCTATATTATATATATGCAAGTAGGCCTACATTTATTTAAATACATGCTTTAAAGGGGTCATATGATGCGATTTCAAGTTTTCCTTTCTCTTTGGAGTGTTACAAGCTGATTGTGCATAGATAAGATCCCTGAAGTTGCAAAGACTAAAGTCTCAAAACCAAAGAGATATTCTTTATAAAAGTTAATGCTACAGTGCAAGCGTAACAATACGCGAGAGCTTCGAGTTCTCGGTTCGGCTTTTTCCGGCTGCAGTCGGCTCAGGGAACGCAGACGTCGAAGCATGCAGACTCTAGTGTTGCCAGTGGAGACGGGCAAATAAAAGAAGGGGGAAAGGGATAAACAGCTCCAACGACTGCCCAAGAAGAGCGCCGAAAAATAAAACCAGCAGGTAAATCATTCAGAACACACCACCAATAGATTTTTCAATATTGATTTATGTTTGACGCCTCACTATTACTGTACAGGTATACGTTGTCGCATTCCATGACAGTGACTGGGCGGACCTAAACTGTATCCCACCGGCCCGTAGAGCTAATTAACATATGAGCAAGAAGAAATACTGGCAAATGTCAGTAATAGGAGTCAAGCGAGCGGCTTGTAAGGGAACAGAGCTCTGAGACTGGCTGGCGGAGCCCTGTTAAGACGCACAAGCGGATTAGGACTCGCGAGCAGGTGCCTTTGTTGGCTCGCGCCGTTGCTAGTGGAGACCCGCAGTAGCCCGACGCGCTTCTTTAAAATGAATGCATATAAATGAGCGTCTCTTCAGCAAACGGGGAATAAAACGCGCTTGACAGGTAAGAAATATTCTGCTATCTCGAGTTTGAGCTTGAAACTTTCGTCAGTTAAAAAAGTGTTGATCTTATGCAAGCGCGGTTACATTACAGTTCAGTGTAAAATGTTTATGTAGGTTCAATTATTCATTCACATGTAATGCCCTGTGCCTTTAAGAATCATAGAACGGTTTGTTTAAATAATTGTGCGCATAACAGAAGGGCGCAGAAAGGGAACACTTTAGATGTACGCAGTACCTGATAGATTATTTAAATGAGGGGCAGCATGTCAACTACATGCAGTTTGTGAATAGGCTTCACGAGCGCACGGTGAAGTATTTTCACGCTCGAGCAGATGGTCTCCGATCAGACTGCCGAGTAGTGGGGATTTTAGCTGATGCAGTCTCTCTCTCTCTCTCTCACACACACACACACACACACACACACTAGGTGTTTCTCATGTCTGCAGCATTGGATACACTCATCTCTGCAGTCTATCTATCTATCTATCTATCTATCTATCTATCTATCTATCTATCTATCTATCTATCTATCTATCTATCTATCTATCTATCACCCATCTCTCTCTAATCATCATGCAATGAGCGGCTTTAATTTTCTAATGTAAATTTTGAATTATTGAATATTGAGAATGATCGCATCATAGCTGCCCAGATCTATTCCTCATAGTTTCCATCAAGCTGTATTTTCCATAATATACTTGGCAACATCCCTGTTTGCTTTATCCAAAAATTCAGCCTTGCCCATCCTGTCTATTTCTATCTGCCTTTCTGACTCTAGGTGCGTGTGTGTGTGTGTGTGTGTGTGTGTGTAATAAACTAATCTATATCTCTGGTTGTACAGTACTGCAGTGTTCCACTGACTAAAACCAACATTAGATTATAGAGTTGAAATTAGATGACAAGCTTACTGTAGCCTAGCTTATTGCATATCTAGCAATAAGCTTTTGAAGCATCTTAGTTTAGTTTAGTTATCTTTGAGACGTTGTCACAGTTCTTCTGGATTGAGTCTGTCTCAGTTTGTTCTGTTTCTTCATGTTATTCCAGACAGACTGGATGATGGTGAGATCAGATCTCTCTGTGGAGCACTGGCTGCTGTCAAACTCCTTGTGCAAACAAAGAAATCTCACTGGATTATTACAATTAATGACAAAATGAATGTTTTGAAATGTAAACTGATATTTCCTACTGACACACTAAAGCAAAAGATAGAAATAACGGACTTAAACCCATTTTTTAGCTGCTGAAAATACCAGTGTTCTAATAATTTTGGCCACCACTGTAAATGCATAAATAAGGTTCAAAACTCAACTTGTCAGCTCTCTGGTTCCAGTTATTACAATTTGTTGTTTTCTCAGTTCTAGGAGTTTTTTAACCAATGCGAGTTCCGCCACCATGTTCTACGGTTCCTCATCTGCCAGCATGTCTCTGCCATCCAAAAACCGCCTGAAGCGTCAGAGTCGCACTTTTACCCAGGTTCTGTACAGGACACTAAGTTATCGGGATCGTCGTTCTGTGACCGACCTACCTGAGCAGGTACGGGACGATCCAGCTGAGCTTTCCACCCAATCATCTGCACCAGGTGTGCTGAAGATATTTGGTGATGAAATCAGCACCGGCGCTAACTACAAAAGTGTTCTCGCCACACCTCGTTCCAGTGCCCAAGAGTTGATCAAAGAGGCGCTTGAGCGCTATTCTCTAAACAAGGCCTCGGCCTGTAGCTATGTGTTATGTGACGTGATTGGCCGGTTTGAGGGCCCAGATCGACGGTGGCGGACTGAGTGCCTTCGGGCGCTAGGAAACAACGAGAAACCCCTCCTCTTGCAGGACCTCTGGAAGCCAAAGGAGGGTTACTCTCGCCGCTTTGAGCTCAGACGAAGAGCTGAGGTCGAGGAACTGGCAGCCAAAGAGAAGGACACAGTCACTGCAGGTAATGCACAAATGCATTCACTGAGAAACATATGCTCAGCAGAGGACGTTCTTGTTGTGTGATTGTATTTTCTAATGAACTGAAACAGGAAAATCCAGTACAGCAGAGCGGAGAAGCACACAAGAAAGTTTTTGCTTAATTTCAGTATTTACCTTTCAAGACATCTGAATGAAAACGTTATATTACAATTACTGGACCAAGACAGAAACATTATAACTATTTGAAAATGTGATGTTTTAAGGAATGTTTAGAGATGTTTTAGTATACAAATAATTTATTTAAATGAAAAGAACAATTATAGTACACGATTATCTAGTAACAATTATAATTAATTTTTTTAATTAGAATAATTTTAACAACATGTAGTATACATGTAGTTTAATGTAGTAAATTCTAATTATATAATAAATAAAATTCAGATTTTTGTCTGGAACGCAGTATACCAGGGATCCTCAAATCTGGCCCACAAGATCCACTTTCCTGCAGAGTTTAGCTCTAACCCTAATCAAACACACCTGAGCATGCTAATCAA